ACGCTAAGAAGATGAAACATTGGAGATTTCTCTGGTTCTTCATAAGCAAGGAGGGCCATAAAATCCTACAATGACACAATGATTAGTATTTCAAGCTTTTCTACATATTTACGTAAGCTGGTTCAGCCTGCTGAACAAAGAAATGATGGGGAAAAAAAGATAGAATGAAATGCCAGAAAAGATAAGAGGATATCCTAAGTCAGGATACAGCTACGCACTTCAAGTTTTTCCACATATTTATGCAACTTCCCAAAAGGGGCAAGCTTGACCTGAGCAAATTCCAGGGCCATTGTGCTGTCATGTAAACAAACAAGAATAAGGATAAAACATTATAACCTGTTATACAGAATGCCCAATCAAGCATCAGGAAATGGGTAATAAGGTTAAGATAAGATACGTAAATGATAGCGGGGGGCTCACCATTTCCTAGAGCATACAAGTTCAACAAAATGAAGGCTTAAAAGATCAAAATGCAGGTCCTCATTATTCTCAAGTAAACCCTGTGCTAACTCTTCTGTTAACTCAATGGCTTTAAGTGCATTCCCTTCTACTGCAAAATCATAAATTCCTGAAAACACAAAAAGTTACCATCGGATTCAAAACTTTTAGATCAAATTTTGAGGAAATATAAAATCAGATTTAGTGCTAAACAAACAAATTTAAAGTTACACTAAGCTCAAAGATTATATAAAATTTAAATGCATATCATTAAGATTGTTTGAGGGAAATCAGTATCCACGCTGAGTTGCATTGCAGTGAATTTATTTCTAAACTCAAGGCCACTTAAGACAGTGGAAATAGATCATCATTCCTTACAAGAGATTTCTAAGATAAGTCATCAGGAGTTATACCAGAAGAGTCTATTTATAAACAGGAAACGACTAAATCAATATCATTCAGATGTAAATTTTTATTTGTGCAGCAAGAAACAATTAGAATTCCCAAATAGCAAGAGAGGAAAATTTCACCAACTTTTTCTTTTTTCCATGTGAACAAGATAATCCGTGTGCTGCTTAAGCCCAGTACAATTAGCGAACGACTCTGCAGTTTCTTTATAACAGTTATGAACAAGGTACGATAGAACAATGTTCTGAATATCACCATCATTGATAGCCTGTCATAAAATGTGAGAAAAATGTTCTTAGAATGCACAACTAGTAAATAAGATTAACAATAATCAAACTGGTCAAAACCATTGTGGTAACAAATATCAATTTCTTTTTCACTTATAACAAAGTTTCAGAGGGTGATCGCACAAGAAAGGATTGAAGTTAGAAATTAAATATTATTCTACATCCAAAGAGAACCAGACAAGGAAATTTCTCACTTAGAAGCAAACAACTTTGTGCCATCTGAGCTCAATAGCAATTCATGAAATGTCTATCCAATTGCATACTCGTCACCACATAAACAAGTAACCAGTAGATTACCAAAGCGTCGAACACTAACGCAAACAGAAAATGATTGTCCGATATCCGATGCCAGACACTATTTTCTTTAAACAAGCAAATAAATATTAACAAGAATAGAAGTGAACAACGAACTGCAATTTCAATTGTTTCACTAGTCCTCGTTTGAAGTGATAGAGAAATACCGTTAGAAAAATGTATTTGTGATAGCAAGTGAAAGAAAGTCAAGGGTCCAACTAAAACTTCACAAATTGACCAAGAAACAAAGTAATAGAACAATGGCGATGAAACAGCACAAAAATGAGCAAATGCTTCACTAATCTGAAGAGAATAAGCAATGAAGTTCGGTGAGTTCTGTATCAGAAATTGAGAGGAAAACGAACTCACGATGAGGTCGTAGAGAGGAGGATCGACGTCCATGATTACCCGTCGGCCGGTGAGAAATGGAGCAGTTGAGTGATTGAAAGGCTATGTTAACAGAGCGGTGGAGGAGGAGAGGACCACGATTTGTGAGTCGCCGTTGCGAAGAGGAGGAAGATTTTCCATGGACTTCGATCTCTCTAATCGGCCCCCTTCGTCTTGGACTTCCGCGCTACGAAAATGAAAATGATCCGACTCCGTATCGGAATTTCTTGCAGCCCTATATTCAGTTTTTTTAACCGCGAGTTTTGTTCACGCGCCCCGGCAAAAACTTCCGGATAAGATAGACGACAGACGTCGACCATTTTTTTTAATTTTATTTTTACCTCAACCAATTAACTTTCGTTTCACCCAAAACGTTTACAAATTATTTTTTAAACGCCAACTAGAGATTATTTATCATTCTTTTAGAAAATAATTTAATAATCCAAATACATAAAGAATATATTTATCAAACGTGGTAATAAATTCAAACATAAATATCTCAACCAATAAAATTATTTTATGAATACCAAATATTGAATTCAAATAAATTTAAACACAAAAAAACGTAAGCAATCTTCTTAATAAGTTGTAAAGTTTTTAATTCTTACTTCTACAATGTTATATGTGAAAAAGAAAAAAACATTCTTCTTATAGTCACATATTTTTGTCCTAATTAATTTTATAGTCACATATGAAAATTGGGCTTGAAACATTTGGATGATAATCTAGATCGTTGAAATGGAATAACAGGTCCCAATTTCAATTTTTGCCTAATATTTTAACGATTTTCTACTTCAATAGTATATTGAAGCATGTAAATATCCCGTATATAAATAATTCCCAATTGGACCAAGATCCGCAGAATTGGGGATGGACCAGGCCCATCAATTTAACGAGCCAAACCCAGGTAATTTAACGCTCCGATACTATCCAATCCAAAGTTCGTCGGCCTTTCAGTAATACAATACAGAAAAAACCAGTAGATGACCCTTTATGCTCCTTCATTGTTAAAACTGATCACATATAAAATCAGCATATTTGCTCAATTTTAATTGTTATACTTGAAGAGAGAAACGCCACACGCCATTGAATTCAAATAATAGGCTTAAACTGCAGCAAGAAAGAGGGAGAATTGCACAAGGCCACTGCTCAACTGAAGGAAAAAACTTGAAAACAGGGAGAGGCAAGAGTGTCCCAGAAGAATTGATACCTGACTTGCTCAGGTGAGCTCATTTACAGGGTCCCAGGTCCATCGGTTCACTCATAAAATTCATCAAGATTCACATCCAAGTGCATTTGGATGGCTCACCATGCAGGATCTTTAACACAAGTAAACTGTTTTACGAGCATCAAATCTGAAACTTCCAGCATGAAGAACTCAAGCAAAGCAGTAGACCAAGCAAAATGCACATCCAAACAGTGAGGAAATTAGAAAAGGAAACATTATAAACAATCAACTATGAGTCATATTTCGTTCTTGCCTGAAGCTGCTTATTTGGGCATGACCAAAAATGAACAGAACAGACCACATGATTATATACCAGATAGCCGTATCGTCCCAAACCATCTAGAAAATGATATGGTGCAACCTTTGGGGCTTTCAAGGAAGGCATGGTGAAGCCAGATGATCAAAGATCCTCACCATCCACTCAACTGTCGAAGGAAACAGGTTCATCCCTTTCCTCAACGACCTCAATAAATAATAGTTTAATCCAAGCAGAAAGCACACACCGAATTCAGGTTCTTCGTGAACTTTCTTCAAATAATTCACCTAAACCCTTAAGATCATGTGCAGTTTCTATATCGAGTATGCAAACACTGGTATACCAGATGAAGCGAATTCAATTATATATCAAAATTTACAGCTTTAATATCATCCGTCTCTCGTATAAGATACGGGTAAAGGCAAGCAAAAATTAAGCATTACCTCCAATTTGCTTCCTTGTGCTTCAACAATCTAACTTCCAATCTCCACAGATAGTTCTCAGACTTGCATTCTAACTGTTAGACGGGAACACATCTTTAACAGCAGAAGCGGCGGTCAAGTAATTCAGAGTGTTTCTCAATGTCTCTTTCTCCCGTTTCAGCCTCGCCGCCGTATCCTCCAATTCGAGCAACGCCTGCTGCTCTCTAGGCGCACCTTCAAACGTGCTTCCAACGAAGAACGAGAAAGGAGTTGGGAATAAATTCCTTCTCAAATCCTGAAATTCTTTCTCCGGCTTACCACTCAACCGGTTCGACAATCGAATCACGTCCTTCATGTATGACTCTACCTCGTTCGCCAACGCATCCAAATCCTCTTCTCCACTGCCGGACGGCCGGTCCTCGAGCCATGTAACTTCGGCGACGAGATAAGGTTTCGTCCGAACAAGATTGGTGACTCGAAACCGCTCTTGGCCCTTACAAATAAGGAAGAATCGGTCGTCAACGAGTCGCTCGTGTTTGACGATCTCACCAACGCATCCAACATCCGTTGTACCGGAAACTGAATCGGTGTAAATTACTCCAAAGCGAAGATCAGTCTGAAGCAGAGTGTGCATCATCATCCGGTAGCGAAACTCGAAGATCTGCAGAGGAAGAATAGCGCCGGGGAAGAGAACGAGAGGAAGGGGAAATAGCGGAAGCTCAACGACATCGCCGGATTTGGGAGAGCCGGTGTGGTGTTTTTCCGGGAAAGATGAAGCAGAACACTTAAGCGTATTGGGCTTGTGGCAGCGGTGGCGAAAGGCGGCAGCAGAAGAGAAGAATCTAGGGCTAAGGGTTAAGGTAGAGGAAATTGTGTTGGGATTTAAAATTGGATTATGGGATAGAGACGAAGAGGAAGAGGAAGGAATGAGCTGAGGAAGAGCCATTGAAGCACTGCCAGTGTTCCCAAAGTGTTTAGATAAACCAAAGCAAAATTGTTTGCTTGCTTGTCGAGAGCCTGTGTGCTGAGCTCTCTGCCTCACAAAAATCAAACTCCCCCAGAAATTAAAAATATTTACTCCCAATTTCCATCGGTACCATTTTCATTGGGCTCATCTAGGCCCAGTATTCGTTGATAAGCCCATACCAAGCCCATAATACATATTTGGAGGCCCAACAACTTTGGGCTACGTGTGAATGCCTAAAGATCGGATGGTGCGAATGATATGCTTACATCGTTTCGCACCGCGTAGTACAAGTAAAACCGCAAAATCTGAAACTTTGATGCTCTTCTCCTTTTTGCTTTCATCTTAGTTGTGTTTGGTCTGTCAACGCACTTCCATCGTCGGGCGTTTCAAGACTTCTGTTGTAGGATCTCTCAATGCTTTCCCAATGGTTCGATTCCATATGCACCGCAAATGAGGCTTCCCTATTGCTCGTTCATTTCCATGTCTTCTTTTACTTCTACCGCTTTAAATTGAGCCATTTAGGTTTGTATTTGTTCAGTTCTCTCGTAGGACGACCATCTTACAGAGGCGGACAGTTTCAATTTACAATTCTCTTTGATTTTGTGTTTTAAGATAGAACATGGCGGAAAACAGCGGAGTGATTACGTGCCATACCGTTGGATCATGGAAGCAGCAGCTCCTCAAAGGAAAACAATCCAATAAATTGGTACTGCTTGATTCTAAATCTACTAGTTTCTTCATGTGTTCTTCCTCTTCTTAAACAATTTTAATTCTACAGATTGTCGTGGACTTCACTGCCGCATGGTGCGGTCCGTGCCGTGCCATCGCTCCAGCTTTTGCAGAGTTGGCTAAGAAGATGAGTAATGTTATATTCTTGAAGGTCGATGTTGATAAATTGAATGTAAGTTGATTCAAGCCCTGCCCTGCAGAGATTTTGTTTTTTTAATTGAGTGATATATTAAGGCTTCAAACCAATCGAATTCTTTTCTGCAGACTGTTGCTGCGGAATGGGGAGTGGGTGCTCTCCCTTGTTTCATGTTCTTGAAGAATGGGAAGGTGGTGGCCAGGTTTGTCGGTGCAAGAAAAGATGCATTGCAGAAAATTGTTTTACAGCATGCCTAATGGGAAGTCCATGTTGAGGAGATATCATCATCTGTTCTTTGGATTTCATTTGAAGAGAAAGGTGCCACCTTTCCCCAGTTGGTAATAAATTGATGCTTTTGGTTAGCACAACTTTGATCTTTCTTGTGTTTGATTGTTTTTTGATCAGTTTACTATTTCGAGGCTACCAGGCTTGTTATGTAATAAATGAGCTCTTTTTCTTTTGTTGAACAAAAATGAGCGCATATTTAAAGTTGGCTTATAAATTGTGGGTAGTTTCTTCTATCTGCATGTTTCATGCTTGGACATTTCAAAATTTTAACTTACAGATAGGTTTAAATTTCATTTTACGTGAGATCTCTCATCGGTTAGAAAGGTGAATAAAGGTGAACGAAACATTCCTTATAAGAGTATGAAGACCTCTTTCTAGCATACGCGTTTTAAAAACCTTGATGACTCGAAAGGGAAAGCTCAAAAAGAATAATATCTGTTAGCGGTGGGTTTGAGCCGTTACAAATAGTATCAGAACCAAACACTGGGCAGTGTGCCAGCGAGGACGTTAAACCCCAAAGGGGGTGGATGCTGGGCGATGTGCTAGTGAGGACATTGAGCCCCACATGGGAGTAGATTGTGAGATCCCACGTCGGTTGGAGAAGGGAACAAATCATTCTTTATAATGGTGTGGAAACCTCTCCCTAGCATATGCATTTTAAAACCTTGAGGGGGAAGTTCATAAGGGAAAGATAAAAAAAAACAATATCTATTAGCGGTGGGTATGGGCCTTCGTTACATCTTACCATTGAACGTACTTTAATAACTTAAACTCATCCCATCTGATTAATTCAAAGCCAAGGGAATAGGGACTTTTTGGGCAAATGGCTATCATGATCTTTCAAGAAAACAATGTAATGAGCTCGAACCTTCCCCATTTACAGGGCTTATGAGTTCCTCTAATGGTAATAACTTACACATGCCTATCATATATAAATTAATATGCAATGCAACATATGATCAATGAAACTAATCTTCAATCAGTAAGTTAAATCACCTTGGCTTCACAACATAGAACAGCATGCTGGTGAGGAGCAAGGATGCTGGCTGTTGAACTTTTCTCACGAACCGCGTCCTTTGATATCAGCTATGGCACAGTCGACCTCAACTAATAACTGTTTCAATTCATTGGGACATGGGTCTACTCCAAAGTTGTCTCTGGTTGCTGACACCAAACAGCTCTCCTGCCCGATGCATTTCTGTAGAAATATTTCAAATTATGACTGTTAGTCTTAAAGTATCCTTCAAAACTTTATATGATAGAAGCTATGAACGGACCTTCTCTAATGTCGCATGAGAATCTGGTGCATGGCAAGTTCCCTTTTGGTAACTTCCGCAAGTTCCAGAAGGAGTTCCAAAACTTGCAAATTTTATGGCTGATATGACCTGCCCTGGATTACATTGCAGGTGAAACGAATCTGGTTCCTCGTTGCTTTCAATGATGTAACTTTCATTTCTCACATGGTGTTCAACTGCCTCACCACAAACACCAGTCACAGACCTCCTCAAAAGTGATATTTTGGACGCATCGCCACCAAGTTCTTCAAACAACACCAATACATTATTGGTTGGTTTTAACCAGGATCGAGGAATGTGGTACCTGGATGAACATATAAGAAATGAAAGGAATCAGCTATAACCGTATGAAGAATAGAATTTGATTCTTCTATTTTGTGTTACCATCGTTGGGTTGGCTGTCCACAGCCATGTTCGCATTTGGAAGGTCTGTATGTCCCAGCATAACTACACCTACTGCAGCCACCCTTTGCATAAGCCATCCAATATCTTCCAATACTCTGTCCATTAATCCATGCTTGGCCCTTGCCCATGCTTCTCAAGTTCAAAGCCAATGGCTCATTCCCTCCTGGCGCATTGAAATTAGCCTGCAAGTTCCAACTAAATTATAAAACTTCCTCATTTGAGTCACTAATTCAGTTTGGATTTTACCTTGTACCAAGTCAATGGTCGCTGAGCTTGTGAAGCAAGAGAACCTTTTATCCAATCCACAGACGCAGCTTCGGTTGGAGAGACCAAATTCATTGCCTCTCCTTGTAAGCCTACCTGTTGCCAGTCAAGGATATTAGACTGAATCAATCGAAAGGGAAACCCTGCCCCTCCCATTGATTCATATGCGAGTCTTCTTACCTGGTAACTCCATTTCTGCCATGTCAAATCCTTCTTTCCCTCATTAAGCCCACTTATCGAAATCGGACCGAGGATACCCGTTTGCCATGTCTCAAAATGCATCCCAACATTCTAACAACAGAATGCAAATCAGCAATAATATAGTTATGGCAAGGTCAAGTTGTACTTTCTGCTTATATGCTTGGTTTAAAGCTTAAAAGTGGATATATGGGGAAGGAGTCAACCGGTAAGCCGACTGTGACGCTGAGTAGAGCAATTTTGTTCATCCCAGCATGTAAGTTGATAGGGCCAGTAAATGTAAATTCTCGACGTTCCCTACTTCCATAAGCCGAGCCTGTAATTTATGTACTAATGACATAAATTCGATCATCACGTTGAAGATGGAATCTAAGGGATTGAAGGCATACCTGAGAACTGTCCATTGATAAAAACATGGAGAGCATGGCCAGCTGATCGCACAGTTAAAGTGGGCTTCTGTCCTCCTCCAACAAATGCTTCTGATGAACTGAGGCCAACACTAGAATACAATACAAATTTATTGTCAATGAGTTTTCTATATGTGTCATAATCTAAATGAGTGTTCTATATGTGTTTTCTAATTAGGACAATAGGGTTGTGCAATATGGTGTATAGTTGTGAGATCCCACCACAGTTAGAAAGGAGAACGAAATATTCTTTCTAAGTGTGTGAAAACCTCTCTCTAGCAGACGTGGTTTAAAATCCTTAAAGAGAAGCTCGAAAGAAAAAGCACAAAGAGAAAGATATCTGCTAACGGTTGGCTTGGGCCGTTACAAATTGAAATTTTTAGATCAAGTTTTTATTCAATCTATGTCGATAAGCAAGCTTTTATATAGTACAATAAACCAGCTAGCTAGAGATACCATATAATTCCAGGCTCACCTTGTCATGTACCAAAGATAGTCACTGGCATCTCTAGTGACATTTATCTGCTCCAAGAGGCCGGCAACAGTCATTCTTGAACTCCCTCCTAGGGAAGATGTATCTTCATTATAAGTTTCCCATGACAACTTGGAAATTGTTGGCAACATTTGGGTTCGTGCAATATGAACTCCAACCTTGATGAGCACAGAACAATCTGAATTAAAACATAGGAGAATAAAATGCACAAGAAAACATGTCCTAAATTTCAAGATTGAATATATACCTTTGCAGTATTGAACACAACACGCTTACAATCGGGAAGGATGCTTATTGACCAAGGAGGCAAAATGTGATGCATGTTGTTGAACACCACTGTAGCTGCAGAACTTGAATGGTAATTTGCAAGGAAAGCAGCACAACTTCCAGGTCCCGAAGAGAAAACGTGAGCCTGGGGAATTACTTGGTTGAGCTCAGAAACATCATTACAATTTGAGAAGAAAATCATTGAATAAACAAATAGGCCAACCTGCTGATAGGTTCCTAGTGAGGTAACTGTAGGATCTGAAGTAACTAAAGCATGTTCACATAACTTAATGGCCCTATGGAGGTTCTTCAGATGCCCATATTTTGGTTGCCTGATCATGCCTAAAAGTAAATAGTAATTAAGTAGTTAGCTTTGCCTGCCAGTAACAGAAATAGAACTGCAGATCATTTTCTTTCGGGGAAAATTCTGAGTAATATATTTGAAGGGTTGGAGACAGGAATGATTATATTTGTGAGATCCCACATCGGTTATGAAGGAGAACGGAACATTATTTATAAGGGTATGAAAACCTCTCTTTAGCAGGCATGTTTTAAAAACTTTGAGGGGAAGCTCGAAAGGGAAAGTCCAAAGAAAGATGATAGTATTGGGCTTGTGCTGTTAAAAATGGTATTAGAGATAGACACCGGGCGATGTGTCAGTAAAGAGGTTGAGCCCTAAAGGGAATAGACACGAGGCGGTGTACCAGCAAGGACACTGGGCCCCGAAGAGGGGTGGATTGGGGGGCCCACATCGATTGGAGAAGAAAACGAACGACAGACGTTCGGGGGGGATCCCACATCGATTGAAACACCCTTTATATGTGTGTGGAAACCTCTCCTTAGCAGACGCGTTTTAAAAATTTTGAAAAGAGCTCGAAAGAAAAAGCATAAAGATTACCAATTTTGTTTGTAATGAGATACATTGGATATAATATGTTCAGCCTTCTCACCAAATTCATCGAGTGGAGCATCGTAGTCATAACTAGCTGTAATGAATGGGCCTCCAGCAGTGCGTCCAAAGTTGGTTCCACCATGATACTTTCATTAATCAAAACAAAGTGGATTCAGTTTTATGTCAGGCATATCAAGTTCATAAAAACAGCGAAGTGAGTGAAGCAAGCTAACCAACCATGTAATAGTTAAAAAATGAACCACCCTTTTGTATGAAGCGAGCAACTGCAAATGCCAAATCTTGGACAGGTCTACCATAAACTGGGCCACCAAACTCTGTAAACCTTTCATTACAGGGAGGATAGCAGGATCAGAGTAATAATTCCATTGGTAGATTGAATATACAGAAGATTGATAAGTAAGATGTGTACCAGCCACTCCACGCCTCTGTCCATAATGTAGGCTTGTAAGGCTTATTAGGGGAGAAGTAATCACAATAAAAACCATTGCACGAATTTATCTGTGACCAAAAAAAGGAGAATTAAAATAGTCAGAAATTTCCATTGATGTTTAAAGATTGATATATTTCTGCGCCAGTAAACAAAAAATGATGGCTTGCCACAGGATCAGGAGCATCATCTTCCTTGCACATCACCCAAGGCACTCCTGTGTTCAGTCCAACAGCCATCTTTGCCGCCCAATTAATGTATGCATGACCAGCAGCTCCAAGCGCTCTACCCTCCGGCCCATACTCGTTTTCAATCTAAGAAAACAAAATTGAAATGAAAATTTTAAGTCTTTAGAAATGAACAACGGTATCCATAGCATTGATTGTAACGTTGCCATATGGAGATATCACATAAGCTTCTAAACCTTTACCTGGGAAAGGATAATGGGGCCACCTTGTGAGGCAAATAGCTTTTCGTTCTTCATCATTAGTACAATTTTCTGGGTGAACCCTTGCA